GGCTTCAATGCATTTCAATTGGGGAACCGCGTTTCCCTCAACGATGTTTCCTATGGGGATTTTCGCTTAAGGACGGCAATCCGTTCCAATTGGAATGGATTAACCGGTTTTCAATGCATTCCTATGGGAAATGGTGTTTCACAGAACGATGTTTCGCAGGACGTTTTTTTTTTTTGGAACCAATTAACATTGTTGTGCGAGGCCCCCCTGTATATAACAATACTTTTGGCTGATATTTTGCAGTCCTCCATGATCATGTCATGGATGGCTTTTGCATTTGCAGGCACAGAGACAGAAACAGGTCTTCCATTGGGTTTCTCATTTTCAGCACTGAAATGACCAGTTTTAAAATTGACAACCCAATGTTTGACTGTTGCATATGAAGGGCCACTGTCACCCATAGTTTGTGACATTTCATCATGGATCTGCTTTGCACCTTTCCCTTGAAGAAACAGGAACTTGAGTATGGTCTTATGCTCTTCCACATTGAACTTTTCTGGACGTGCCACCATGTTCACTTTGGACCAGAAAATGAAAGTTAAGTTAAAATCATAGGTAGTTGATTTTTGCACCACTGAATACAGACAGGTTGGCCAGTACACCCTGCAATTTATAGCTTCCTAGCACAATTCTTTCTGGGAAAGGCTCAATACTTATCAGCACCCCCTAGTATTTGTTACAAAGTGATGCACTGTATTTTAAGAATACAGTGCATCACTTAATATTTAGACATAATAATATTTATGTAGTGCTTTTAAAGTGTGTGCATTCTCTCTTGTATTCATAACAATGCAATATAGGCCCAATATAGGCCCACAAGGGACGTGGTGGCGCTGCGGGCTAAACTGCAGAAGCCTATGCTGCAGGGTCAGAAGACCAGCAGTCGTAAGATCAAATCCACGCGACGGAGTGAGTGCCCATCGCTTGTCCCAGCTCCCGCCAACCTAGCGGTTCGAAAGCATACAAATGCAAGTAGATAAATAGGGACCACCTTGGTGGGAAGGTAACAGTGTTCCGTGTCTAAGTCGCACTGGCCATGTGACCACGGAAGATTGTCTTCGGACAAAACGCTGGCTCTATGGCTTGGAAATGGGGATGAGCACCACCCCCTAGAGTCGAACACGACTGGACAAAAATTGTCAAGGGGAACCTTTACCTTTACCTTAAAAAATCTAGCTGCCTTTCCCTAAGTCATTTTGCTCACCTAGAGCTACACTCATTTATAAATGTGTTGACTGACTTAACAGAGTTAGAGTGAGCAGAAGTCCCATGTAATGGAGACTTAAAATTTCCTTCCTCATGAATTTTTTTTTTAAATGAAATCTAAGAAAAACCAGTAGCTTTCATAATCAGAGTGGGAAGAAGATGGCGGAAGAATCCTTTTGTAAACTTTCCTATTGAATGAACTCTAGATCCAACTCATTATTAAAAGAAAGATAACAAAATACTGATGCTTAAAAGATTGTCTGCTAGTGGTCATAAATGAGCCTTTTTGAGGTTGGGTTTTTACCAGGAGCAGCAGCATCTGCAAGAACTGAAAACAGATATACAGTCTACGACCTATGTCATGCAGTGCCTCTCTAGGCCATGTCCACAGTCCTGTTACCACCTCATCACAGCTAAATTCTTGCCCATCAGAATCACTGGGCAGGAAGAAGAGCTGCTAGCCTCCTCACCCCTCTGTGATGGTGAAGCAGCTGGGATTATTGCTTCCATGCCACTTGCGGCAGCTTAGAAGCAGCAGTCTCCATCTGCAAGTTAAGATCTGCATGTAGAGGATTTGAACCTTCCACCATGGCCTGAAAGTAACCTCCAATTTGTAATTATAAGCATGACTGCTGGAATAGTGTCATGGTTAAAGCTTCCCATGTGTGTGAGTGTTTGCTTATTCAAAACATTTCTATGTTGACCCTCATTAATTCAGATTTAATGGCAGTACATAGGAGTATAAATAATAAAAAGTTCAAAACCTAATATAATATGCAATCAATAACCAGAATAAAAGATAGCAGATATAAAGTTTGAGACAGTCTTATAGCCACAAATTCCCAAACTACCCCAACTAAGACAGCCTTCGTAGGAATGCTGAAATTTTCCCAAATCAAATTTTCAGAAACCAGGTTCACCTCCTCCAGCAATGTAGGAAGTCTAAGGGACACTACAATGGCTGTAGGAGGCCTATCTATTGGAACACTTAGTACTGCACAGAAGGAGCTACATTAACTATGAAATACAATCCTGTGAATTCAGAACTGAGCAAAGCCAGAGGAAATTGCTAAGTTCATCAGTAGAGGTAGCATCTGTATAACTAGAGTTGTTTTTAAAATATCAAAGCCACAAAGGAGCTCCTCGCAACCTGTTACTATCTTTTTACAGATTCTAAAATCAAGAAAGAAGATGAAACTATCTCAGGCTGATGTGATGCAGAAGATTGGGGAACTATTTTCATTAAGGTATCTTAATTAAAAAACAAGAAGAAAGATTAAATCTGTCTACAAATTTTGAAGGAATTTGAACCAACCAATTAATGGGTAATTCTCACTGGCTAAAATCCAGTAGTAAGAAGCAACTAGAGTAAGTCCATTAAGTCAGTAGGTATTTGGTGAGTTAACACCTATTATGACTTACTACTGGATTTCAACCGGTGTCTGTAGATATATACTCAAATCCAAAGTTAACTTTACTGCAGTGGTGATTAAAATTATGAAGGAACCCATGTATCTAAGCATGCTTGGATAGGCATCTCACAATCCCTTCATTGTGGCCAATTATTCTACTTTCAACTTTCTTACAATTTCTTAATCAGAGACTTGAGTGTGTACATATCTGTCTAATCTTGTTTTCATCTGGTTCATTTATCATTTTTAAACCTGTGCTTTCTTTTTAAAAAATTTCCTTCAACACTATTCCTTCTCCATTTTTTACTTTGGGACCAGAAAATGTACTAGTTAATTTCTAGAGGAAAATTTATTTATTTATTTATTGCATTTATACCCAGCCCATCTAGTCAATTGACTACTCTGGGCGGCTATATGCATATAGATGATACAAATATACATAAGACTGTATATGCATAAATATAGAACAACTTTTTTTAAAAAATTAGGTGTTTGTTTGATTTTTATACTACCCATCTGGCAACCCAGGGCACTCTGGGCAGTCTACACATTACAGTAATACAATATGGTACAATACCCTATAATAAAACAGAACAATAAGACAGAAATAATCAATACAATTCAGACAAAAGTGAAAATAATACCAATAAAAACATTAAAAATCAAATAGTAAAGGCATGGCGGAGGGTTGAATATCTAGATGTTAAAGCATTATTGTTTCAGGATATTAACAAGTCCGGGAAGGCCTGTCTAAATAATGTTTTTAGTGATCATTGGAAAATCCAGGTGAATTTCAGGCGGGAGACGATTCCACAGTTGTGGGTTGACCGCCGAGAAGGCCTGGTTTCTGGTCATCATTTTCCGGGCCTCTCCTAGAGTCAAAACTCTCAACTGCCTAGCCTGGGAAGATCTTACAGGGCAGGCAGATCTAGTCGAAAGGAGGCATTCTACCACATAGTGAGGTCCCAAACAGGTTATGGCTGTGTATGTTAACACCATCATCTTGAAGTTTGCACAGAAATGGACAGGCAACTAGGGCAGAGCAGCCAGGATTGGGGAGATACATTGATGTCTCCTTACCCTGCTCAGTAGTCTGGCGTATGAGTTCTGGACCTGACAGGGTCCATGACAGCACCAAGGGCAGTCCCATGTAGTGAACATTACAGTAGTCTAATCTCAAGACTATGAGTATGTGGACCAGCATGGTGAGAGACCTGGAGTCAAGGTAGGGATGCAGCTGGGCAATCCATCTTGGGTGGAAATAGGCAGAGCAGACTGTAGACAGTATTTGAGATTCCATTGACAGCACTCTGCCCCAAAGCACACCCAACTGTGCACCTCATCCTTCGCAGAAAGAGTGCCCCCCAAAGAAGAAAGAGAAGCACAGACTACAGACACTAGGGGTGCCCACCGTCGGGATTTCCGTCCTGTCCGGGTTCAGCCTCGGTCTGTTATCCTTCATCTACCCCAACATGGTGTCTTGGCAGCACTAAAGGGACATAAGAACATGAGAAGAGCCCTGCTGGATCTGACCAAGGGCCCATCTAGGCCAGCTTCCTGTATCTCACAGTGGCCCCACCAGATGCCATTATAATGTTGGTTTTTATTTTCAACCCCCTTTTTAATGATACTCAGCATGGACATGATGGTGCTGCGGGTTCAAGCGCAGAAGCCTCTATGCTGTAAGGTCTGTAGATCTTCAGTTGTAAGATCGAATCCACGTGACGGAGTGGGTGCCCGTCGCTTGTCCCAGCTCCTGCCAACTTAGCGGTTCGAAAGCATTCAGAATGCGAGTAGATAAATAGGGACCACCTTAGTGGGAATGTCTAAGTCACATTGGCCATGTGACCATGGAAGATTGTCTTTGGACAAACGCTGGCTCTATGGCTTGGAAACGGGGATGAGCACCACCCCCCAGAGTCGAACACGACTGGACAAAAATTGTCAAAGGGAACTTTTACCTTTACCTAGCATGGAATTGGCCTTCTTCACTGCCACCACACACTGGATTGACTTGCATCAAGTTGTCCACCAGATGAGACATCATCCGCTCCAGAAGGAGCTGGGTGTCATCTGCATAGTGGTGACACAACGTTCCAAAATCCCTGATGACCTCACCCAGTTGCCTCATATAGATATTAAATAGCACTGGGGAGATGATCGATCCTTGCGGGACTCCATAATTGACAGTCCATGGAGTAGACATCATCTACCCAAGCTGTACTCTCTGAGGACAGTCCTCCAGGAAGGACCAGAGCCAGGCCAAGGCCAAACCTCCAATCCCCAACCCAGAGAGCCTCCCCAGGAGGAACGCATGGTCAACGGTATCAAAGGCCACTGACAGGAGGACCAACAAGGGCATTTTGCCCCTATCAGCCTCCCTAATTTAAAAATATTAGTTTACTAACTGAAGGAGAGGACCACATGCAGTCTTAACAAGTATGAAAAGTATTGGAAAATAACAAATCCAGTAAATTTAATGCAGCTAATCCAGTCAAATGTGCTTGAAAGATCCATGCTGTCTGAAACCAAAGTCCATGTTGACTTTGTTTTGTTTGAATAGTAGACTAGACTCTATAGAGTACCCTGTTTCCTTGAAAATAAGACCTAACCTGAAAATAAGCCCTGGTATGATTTTTCAGGATGCTCATAATATAAGCCCTACCCCAAAAATAAGCCCCAGATAAGTGAAACCCCACCCTCCACCATTGTGCAGGTGACGTGGCTCTATTTGAATAAATGTAGATTGTTGTACATGAAAAAATTAAAACATCCCATGAAAATAAGCCCTAATGCGTTTTTGGAGCAAAAATTAATATAAGACCCTGTCTTATTTTCAGGAAAACACTGTATTTGAAATCTTCCAAAAGTTTTAAGAATTCTTTGTCTGAGGTTGCCATGAGGTTTTTGTAGAGGTGTAGGCCTAAGTAAACAGAAAAGGCAACAACAGCTTAAGGAACTAGTCATTTGATATTTTCCCCCCAGATGCTTGGCAACTTTTCTCAAGTTTCTACCAATAAATGTTAGGGATGGATGGATCTGATTTATAAAATTTAAATCAACTGTTAAGAGTGGGGATCAAGTATAAATCTTACAGTCAAGAGAAATTCTGAAATTCATTATTGCTTCAGAGGGATGACATATTTGCTTCATAAAATGCTTTTGATAGAAGATAGTCAAAGAAAAGTGGTTCATTTATTAGTATCTCATAGCCATTCATTAAAAATTAATCACAAATGTGTTCCCTGTAAAACAATTATGGGAATAGATTGGTAACATTGTTTCTAGAGAACAGCTTTGCCAGAATAGCAAGGAAGAGGCTGGTTCATGTGTCATGCTACATCATGGTACTATGCCAACCTCATTCGATGAGAATGAGTCCTAAAAGAACTTTGGCTTCATTCAGTCCTCTTTTTGTTATCCCTCCTTTTTTCCCCAAGTTTGAGACAAACCATTGTTTGCCATTTTCTCTCAACTGGAAAAGGGAGTAGATCTGGCATATGTAACAAGCAAGTCATAGACACGAGTCCTTCAATACTTTTTCTTACAATGGCAAACCACAGTTCAGCGATAGCTGTGAACGCACCCATTGATCATTACTAGTTCAGACTAAAATTAGGGATATACCGTATTTCTCTGTGTATAAGATACTTTTATCTAAAATCTTTAGACTAAAAACTGAGGGTCAGTAAGGAAGTAAGGGGGGAAAGGGATCAAAGCACTGCATGATTGCAGCCCTTTGATCCCGCAGCCCTTTCACGGCTGCTTTCCCCCTCCACTTACTTTTAGCCCTTTCATCCTGCTTTTGCAGGACTTAGGAAGTGGAGAGGGAAAACAGCAATCAAAATTTCTTATCCTGCTTATACACAAAAAAATATGGTAAGTACTGCTACTAAATAAAAAATTTAACTGTTCACTTTCCCGCCTTTCCCCAGGCACCGCATAAATTTGAGTTCTGACCTACTGATTACCCCAGATTTCTACTGGGATAGAGAGCACCTTGAACAGCTTTATGATAAAATGTATCAGTTTCTCAGTATTCATCGTCGAGTTAAGGTATGTATTTTAGCTTTTCTCACAATATAACCTTTATCATTATGATTTTGTGGGTCCTTCTCAAACTGTTGTTAAAGAAGTTGTTTCTTTTTTCTTTTCTTTTTCCTGTTCAACATATTACATGTTTTTCAACAAGGAAAGATCACAAGCCTATTTCCTTCTTATGAGTCTTCTGCCCATGCCAGAAGACTTTGGGAGAAGTTGAGCCTCGGTTTGGTCAGGCATTTGCAGGAGAAACAAGGAAAATAGGAGGAAATTTCATCTTGTGCAAATACAGTGGTACCTCGCAAGACGACAACCCCGCTTAATGACGAATCCGCATAATGACTTTTTGTGATCACTATAGTGATTTGCAAAACAGTCATTCCAATGGGGGATTTTTGCTGGACGTTGAATAGGTCCGTGCTTCGCTAACCGTTTATTCGCAAGACGATTTTTACAGCTGATCATCGGCTTCGCAAAATGGCTGCCCTGTGTTTTCCAGACCCATGCTTCACAGGGCAGCCATTTTTACAGCTTATTGGCACTCGCAAAATGGCTTCCCTGTGGGCGATCTTCGCTGGACGACAAGGTATTTTCCTCATTGGAACGCATTAAACCAGGTTTCAATGCATTCCAATGGGGAAACGGATTTTGCACAACGACGATTTCGCTAAACAGTGATTTCAATGGGACAGATTATCGTCCTCATGCGGGGCACCACTGTAGTTTTAGTGTTTCATTTTGTTGTCATGTAGTGTTTTATCCTGTTAAGTTCATTCTTATTCTGATTTCCATTGTATTGTGAAGAAAGAAAAACACTGTAGCAATCTGACACTAAGAATCTTTTATACTACATTTGTGACTCCCCATGGCACATAAGGGCAGGCCTATACAAATATTGCCTTGCTGTCTTTCTGTCAGATTCATAAGTTGCTTTTAAGTTGTCTTTTAAAAGTGTGGTGGGGGGAACTAGCTTTCAATAAGATTGGGAATCTAAGAAGTGGCTGTTTTAGGTAAACTAACTTTTGAAGTAATGCTTGTCTTTATCCTCCAAATAACAAATCCAAAATTTTGCTAAAGATGTATCATGTGTAAAGCAGTCAACCTTGGGTGTCACTTGGAAGTAATGCACTCTCTAATATTCAGCCCCGCTGGGCAGGGCTCTGCTTCTCTTGCACATGACTTCTCTCTTGTGTACATGTGCATTATGCCCTCTGGCACTTGCGTGTGAGGTTCCATCATGACCAGAACCAAAGGGGCTGTGCAGAGGAGGAAGCTGTGCAGACTGAGGGGTATTGCACGTGCATGCAGGTGCACACCATAGAAGGAACATTGCTTGGAAGACACATCCACATTTGTAAATAATTCTGATGGCATCTCCTTTGCATTCATATACGCAGTTATGCTGGTTCATAATTTCAGGTGGCATAACAAGACTGTTGTGCCTGTGGGAATTTTCTGAGGATGTTCTCTGTACTGCAATGAATTGTCCTTTCCCATTTTTTTAGCTTTTAACTTCCATCATCAAAAATTAATATTGTACTAACTGTTCATTAATGGAACACTCTTTTTCTTCTGACTCTTAAGAGTTTGTGTGTAGTGTCCATCCTTTGGTTTCTTTTATAACCTAATCATCAGAATCCCTGTTGGACAATAGTTACATGAGTTAGCACACAATGTGGAGTACAAACACTGGCTTTTAAATTAGTGACAATTTGCTGTTACAGCTTACATTGTAACACCTAAGCAGCAGAATATTATTCAGTAGGTCAACTAACATCAAAATACTGCCAGACCCCAAATGCTGATTATGTGAGTATACAATGCAGGTACTGTATGTTTCACATTGCTTTCATTTAATTTGAAAAAACATTAGTTCTTACAGAGTTCACCCAACTTTAAGATGTGTGTCTGGACAGTTTTATGTGACAAGTAATTTCAACAAATATGAGTTTGCTGAACAATTTCATATATAAGATTTCCAAATAGAAATTTTCCTAAGGATTTCTGAGGCATCAGTTCTTGTCTATACTATTGCAGGTGGTGAATGAGAAGCTCCAACATTGCACAGAGTTGACAGACCTGATGAGAAATCATTTGAGTGAAAGACATGCCTTGCGCTTGGAGTGGATGATAGTGATACTTATCACTATAGAGGTTAGTTTGCTACAGTATGCATTTTTCCTGATACCGCTTGTGTGCAGTGTCAGAAAAAGAATGACAATTAATAGCAAGCATCTTTATAGTTTGTGTCATTAGATAGGGCTACAGGTAACCTCAGGGATGTAGTGGCGCTGCGGGTTAAACCCCAGAAGCCTCTGTGCTGCAAGGTCAGAAGACCCGCAGTCGTGAGATTGAATCCACGTAACGAAGTGAGCTCCCGTCGCTTGTCCCAGTTCCTGCCAACCTAGCAGTTCAAAAGCATGCAAATGCAAGTAGATAAATAGGCACCACCACGGTGGGAAGGTAATGGTGTTCCGTGTCTAGCTGCTCTGGCCATGTGACCATGGAAAATGTCTACGGACAAACGCTGGCTCTATGGCTTGGAAACGGGGATGAGCACTGCGCCCTAGAGTTGGACATGACTGGACTAAATGTCAAGGGGAACATTTACCTTTAAGGTAACCTCAGAAGATATTTATGGGCAACACCTACAAATAATATTTAACCTTCATACATTATTCTCTAGTAATCAGCACATTAAAATGTTGTTTCTTTGTTCCACAATACTAAGAATAAATTGTCCCTCAGTTACCAGATGTGGTGCAGAAACTGAGCAGCTTACTAGTTCAGTTTACACATAGCCAGAGTACAGTACCAATGTATGTTATACAGTGGTGCCTCGCATAGCGAGGTTAATCCGTTCCGGATTAACCTTCGCTATGCTGAAGCATCGTTGAACGGGGCAGGGATTTCAATTGGAACGCATTAAACATGGTTTAATGCGTTCCAAATGAGCCAAATACTCACCGTTCAACGAAGCTTTGTAATGGCCTGCAGCCATTTTCGCACCCTCGCCTCGCTTAACGAGGGCGCGAAAACGCTGCACGCGGCCATTTTGGGCCATTTCCGGGCTTCCGGCGGCCATTTTGGCTGCCGAACAGCTGATCGTCGGGGCTTCGTTTTGCGAAGATCGGTAAGCGAAACGCTTACCGGTCTTCGCAAAGCGAATTGTGCCCCATAAGAAAAACGTTAAGCGATCGCATTAGCGATCCGAAAAAACGGATCGCTATGCGATTTCGTCGTTATGTGGTGCACTCGTTAAGCGAGGCACCACTGTACTAGTAATCAGTGCAAGAATTCAAAATCAGCTGGATCCTTCAGGATCACCTCCCACATATGAAGGAATTTTGTTATGTACGTAACTTGCACTAGCATATGAATTTTTCTGTTTATATGAATTAGTCATGTGACAAAAGTATTGCATATTATTGCTTGCCTATACTGGCTTCCATACAAGATTTCTGTGATCCTAATGAAGCAGCCCTATATTGGAGATGCACATTTATCTTGAACAGCCTCTTCATCCATTGTTGTAACTGTAGTGGGTTAAATCTCAAAGGCACTTCCTTTCTTCGCAGGCCTGCAGTGGACCTTGCTTGTCTACATTCTTGACCCACCCACCTTGAACAGCAGAGTGAGCTCTTGGTCTGATTAAAAAAAAAAAAAACACTGCTAGCAATGAGTTCAGATCTCTGGCCAAAAGAGCAGTTTGTCTCTCAGTACAGAAGAAGAGACAAAAAGGGGAAATGACTAGACCCTGACTCCTTCTGGCATTCAGTTGAGGGAGTAGGGCCTTCACAGAGAAGCGTTCCCCACTTCTGCTTTAGTTGCTATTTTAAAAATCCGAAATGTCCCTGAGCCTCGGTATCTTTAATGGATGGCTAGTGCTGGGGCCTCACACAAAGTCTGGAGAGAGGAGTGACTGTTAATAATAAATAATTTGGTACCTCTTCAGTACCACTGAAGGTTCCATCCTGCTGTGTCTTCTATTTTATTATTTCTCGATCTCAATATTTCATGATCACTGGATACACTTGGTTCTTGTTGTTTTGAGGGGTCCATCTTCTGAATATTTGAAATTTATCCCAGGCATTCTGACGTCTTGCTTTTTGTGCTTTGTGAAGTGCTATTTTAACAGCATAAGCAGCCCTATTCATAACTTGAATATTAAAAATAAAAGATGATACTTAGTAACTTGTTTTATTTTGCAGGTCTTATTTGAACTCAGAATGCTTTTCTGACACCATAATGAGTGACAATTGAGATTTTGGAGACAACTGCAACAATTTTGTTTAATTCTTCACATTTATGGAAAATTCAACTGTAATAACAAAATATATGGACAGTTGTTGCTTCCAAAACAGTTGAAGTCATTGTAGATGGGCCAAATCTTAAATCAGTCACGTGGTTCTGGAAAATTATGCAAATCAATCCTTTTTAAGATGGCTGCATCCCTTTCAAAACAGAAATGAACATCTTTCTTTCAAACGTATCTACACTAGCAGTTTTTTTAATTTGCTGTGAAAAAATCATGCACTGCAAAAGTTCGCCACATTTAGAAATATTTTGTATAGAAGTGACTTTGTAAAACATTCAGCAAACTCACATGAAACTATACCACTGTATGTGTTATTCACAGAAAAAGGAAACATTAAAGGCACAGCTGAACCCTCCTCTAATATTTATAGCAGTTTGAGGTCATTTTAAAACAGATTCAGATATGCAGTAGGAACAATGGTAAAGTATTAACACTTTATTGTGCTGATTTGAGCTGGGATAGTAGGCGGAACCTAGCCCGGTGGTTTCCAAACATTTTGACCTCACTGCTCCCTTAATTTTCTGACCTCTGGCCATGTCTCCCCTTGCTGGCAGGGGCCATCAGGACTTTCTCTCCCACCAGAAGCTGGATCTTTACTCTCCCCCCCCCCCCCAATTTCCCCTAGAGCTTACCTCCTTCCAGGTCCTGATACAGGAAATTCCCAAAGGTATCTGTCAAGCACTTCAACTGGGGACCATAGAAATAGTAAGAGGCAAGCACATGGCCTCCACTTCCTATTCGTGTTAGACATAGAGCCATGAAAGTGATAGAGGAGCTGTTTATAGATGAATGAACAGCTCCTTTATAGCCTTCATAGCTCCATGTTCCTTCCCTTTTCCATGGTGCCTCTGTCTAAGTTTCACGGTGTTCTTTGGAGCCACAGTGCAGTTTGGGAATCCCTAAACTAGCCCATAAAATGGTTCAACTGCAAGTACACAAACATGCCAGAACTGACCGAATCGCCAAGGAGTCCCTCCATTTTAGTTTAATTTTAGAGAACTTTCTTTGCAAGTACTGTGTTGCAGATAATTTCTTAATAATCTTTCACATGACTAGTGCTTGAACACAGCCATGCTAAATAGCTTCATCTCCTAATGTTCATGCTTGATTCAAGGTCCCCACCTGCTAAAGCTCACCATCAAGAGCAGAAGTAGTTGGCAATTCCATTCCCTGGACATTATGTCTGTTGTGATCTCCTCTGAAGCCCCTATCCCCCTGGCCTTCACGAGGATCTCACTCTTCCTCCTTCTTCGCTGCCACCAGATATTACTGCTTTAATATCATTTAAGCATTGAGACTCATGTGTAATCAAAACGTAAGTCTTTTATTTAACCAGGGAAGTTGATAATCAATAAACACTCATGAAATTACAGGCTGCAAATCACTTATATCTGAATCAGGATACGTATTACTTCAAACCTCTGCTACAATCCTCTGCTACAATCCACACTATTACAATTATCTAACTCACTCTTCATCCATTTTTAAATCACACACAAGTCTCTCTCTCTCCTCAGACTCCACCCACATGTCTTTTTTAACCTCCCTCCCCCCTGGCTCTGTCTTCCATTCACTCATTGGCTCCTGTGTCAATGTTCTGCAGTGACGGGCAGGTGAGGTCAGGGCTGTTTGTTAGTGTCATATAAAGATGCTTCTCAGAATGTATTCAAAATGTTTCCAAACAACTTCAAAGCAGTTGAATTAGCTGCTGAACATTTTGAAGAATAAATTCTGCTTTTCCTAGATTATGTACATGAACCAGTGAGTTTTTAAGTTTTTAAATTAGATTTAAGATCAGCTTCCTACTCACAAATCTTGAGCTTCTCTTTTTGCTATTCTGGGTAGATATGGGAGCTGTGTATTTGTCTCCCAGAGGAAATGAATACCAAGCTTGGTGCCATAGCAGTCCATTCTCATTCCCTAGAACCAGCCCAGTCCACTCGCCAGGCTCCTTGCAGCACGCATGTCCAATGGTGGCAACATTGTATCAAATGTGGACTTAGTTCCACGGCACTGCCCCGCCTCTCCCTTCAGCAGTCCGCTCAGCACTTGAGCAGGGAGACTTGTCTTTCCCCCTCCTTGATGGAGCAGTTGGCTGTTGGGAAGAGGCAGGGCAGCGCTGGCAGGACTACTTCCATGATTGGTGTGATGTCACTGTTGAAAGTGTGCACTGTAAGCCTGGCCATATGTAGTGGAGACTTACTGGCAAATAGATCTACAGTACAATGTAACTCATGGTGCAGGGTGACTTGAAGGTTGAAGAGTAGCACAAAGGGGTGTAGCACAAAGGAGTATGTTTGAGAGATGGTTGTATCTCCGCATTGATGGTGATAAGCAGGGTGTATGTGCATGTGTGAGTGTTCAGGAACAAGCTGGAAGGTTATGAAAAATATTGTTTAACAACATGGAGCAAAGGAGTTGATCCTCCAGCTGGTATTCAAATTATTTCCCTTAGCCTCACTTGTTCTCCCTTCTTCAAAACTGATTAGTTTGACTTTTCCAAAGTGTGAAGTGTGCCTGCCAGTACCTTAAGTCTGGAGATCCCTCTATTAGAGTGCATGGCTATGCCTGTACAAATTCTGAACAGAAGAAAACAAAGTCCCCATAACCTGGAGTTCCATAAGGATTGATATAAATAAGGAAAAGAGTGAAACACAAATCAAAAAAGTATCAGTGAAATGAAACTGGGCAAAATGATCAAGAAAGGCTCAATAAGTGAAATTCCTGAACTACCTGAATTCCAAAACTTCCCTAGCCTTGGTAGGATATTACATTTGCAGTATTAATTTTTCTGGTATTTCTAAAAATATGTTTTGTGCAATCTAGTCTATTTTTCCATGGTATTTATGAAACGAGTATGAATATTTTAACTTCATTGTTATGAAGTACACACTATCAAGAACCTCATGTAACCGTAGCTGGGTTTTTGACAGCTATAACAGGCACAGAGTTAATGAACTGGTTAATTATAAGCAACTTAATCAGATGGATTTTATAAGCAGAATGATTCTTCTAGCAAGAAGTCTGGGGAAAAAACATTCCAAAGACCAGTACCGTTTCCAAAAATAAGACCTAACCTGAAAATAAGGTTCTGTTCATGTTAGGCTGTCGGGTATGGGAGATTGACTAGTATTGTAAGAGTAAGCAGTAGAAATCCATATACAAATGGAAATACATTTCCCTTCAAGACATTAGAAACAAGGAACAGTGTCAATACAGCGCTAAGTCTTGAGGTTCTAATGTTTATCAAGTGGCCACCATGGATCTGTAAGAAAATGCATGTAACTTTGTTTCATAAGATGAGGACTAAATACATATGTATATAACCTGTAGCTAAAATTAAATTAAGAATTAACCTCATCAATTGGGCAAGTGAATTCAGAATCAAAGTTAAAGATCTTATTTAATCTAAGTCTGGGAATGAAAGTCCAAGTAAATCTGGTAATTTATCACTTTCAGCAGTGTAGTAACTCTTCTGTCCCTATCTCAAGAAATTGAAATGTTTATGTAAAACCTGGCTTATTGCCTTTTGGTTACCTTGTGATAATACCTGAGCATTAAAAATGGCATAATAGTGAAGCCAATACAGGAAACTACTAAACGTAAATATTTCTGGCAAGGGTATGCTAGCAGATGAATGAACATGGCAAATCATATTGGTCAAAATCCAATCAAAGATTACACAATGGTATGACACAAACAGATTTTGTACTGGTATCAAACTACCCCAAGTTATGCTGCTTCTGACCTTACTTACAGCAATTTGCTACCAACATTTATGCTGAAGGGATTTGGCTGCATAGCTGAGGGCTCAGGAATTCAGTTCACCAGTATGCCTCGTAGAAAAGCCATCCTGTGTGGTCTTGGATAAGCCATCATAGGCATCCTTCAGTCTTGAGAGACTATGGTGACATGCTGTGAACTGAGGAGTGTCCTCTCCAGAGCATGAAGCCCAGGTAAGGTAATATGGAGGATAGGCTGTTACCCAAGCAGCAGATCCCCCCTCTCCACATTGCTGAAATGGTCCAATGGAAAGGCAAGAGCCAATACAACTGGTTCCAGCAATGTCGCAGGAGTTGGCAGAACGACACGAGCTGCCTTCGGGACTCCAGCTCCGGATTTTGCCTCTAGGTTAACTCCTGAAACCTTTTCCATAAGTGGATATAGCCACAAGGCAGTGGAGGTTTGAAATCGGAGTTTTCCTTCTCCTACATGGGCTGCCTTCCATGGCTGACAAGCCCCACCTACCCAGCCTGCTCTTTAATAGTGTAGAAGTATGATCTGACCCTTAAAACTTTCCTGCCTTCCAGGCTTATGCAAATCTAATTGGATTTCCTATTTTGGATAAGCCATATGGCTACAAAAACCCCTAAGGAATGAATGGTAAGGTACTTTTGGTCATTTTATACCTAGAAGACAGCTCTGGAAATAGTCACAAAAAACCAAAATTGACTCATTGAAACATATTTACTCTCTTTAGCAGTAGCAAACTTTCAGGTTGTTCTGAATAAAGCATACCATTGGTTTCCATATTTAAGAATATGTGTGAGTGCCTTGTTGGTTATGTTGAAATAAACCAAACATTAGATATGGCAACAAAAAAGGTAATTCAGTGCTAGTGCACATCACCAGTGTCCAGATCAAGGGATGCAATATTACTGCTCTGTTCTGCTTTGGTCAGACCTTACCTGAAGTACTGTGTTCAGTTCTGAACACCAGAGTTTAAGAATGTTGACAAGTGTATGAAGAGAAGAGCAACCACAATGGTGAAAGGTCAGGAAAGTAAGTCATGAGGCACAGCAGAGGAAGACGGGTTATGTTTAACCTGCAGAAGACTGCAGGTGAGAGGATAGCCATCTACATCTATTTAAATGACTATACTGTAGAACACTGGTTCTTAACCTTGGGTTACTCAGGAGTTTTGGACTGCAACTCCCAGAAGCCTTCACCACCAACTGTGCTGGTTGGGGTTTCTGGGAGTTGCAGTTCAAAAACATCCGAGTAACAAAGGTTAAGAACCACTGCTGTAGAAGATAGAGAAGTTATTTTCTGCAACCCCAAAGGGTAAGACCTGAAGTAATGGTCTAAAATTGGAAGAGGAGAGGACAATCAAGCCCAGCAAAGAACTTGATAAGAGCTCTTTGACAGAAGACTCCCAAAGAAAGTGGTGACTCCTCTCTGATTAGAAGTTTTTATACAGAATGAAGCTTTGGTTGTGGATTTCCCACATGAACAGGGGATTGGACTAGATGACCTTTGGGTTGAACTGGAACTCTACACAGTTATACTTCTGTGAACTATCAAGATTGGTGAAAGCAATTTGTTGAATTGCGCACAGAGACTCCGATACCTGAAAAATCATTTTTA